TGCATCACTGATGCAGCATCTGATCGGCGCGTGTTCCTGCGCGGGCAACGCGCGGGCACGAACGACTGGCCCTCCATGACCGCCAACATTGGACGCCAATCGTTCCCGATCGCACGCATGAGCGACGCATTGAGTATTATACATGGGCCCTTCAGCCCCCATTGAAGACCCCCTTGTTGCAGACCCCCTCTCTCGCCCTCCGAATCAGAGGCTGCGCCGGCCCCTTCTCGCCCACGTGGAGGCGCCCCTGGATCCCCGACGTCCCCAGACCCCCGACGTCATGATTTTTTCATGACGTCGACCCCCAGCGGTTTGGACCCATTCCCCGAGACCGGTTTTTCCTCCTGAGTCGTTTTTTGACGGCCCCGAGGCCCGGTAGGGGCCCCCCAGAGGCCGCAAAGATGGCAAAAAACCTCCCGCCGTGATTTTTTCATGACTCGAGGGGGTCTGGGGAGGCTGCGCCGGCCCCTTCTCGCCCGCGTGGAGGCGCCCCTGCGGATCCCCGACGTCCGCGACAGGCTGCAGGGCCGGCGAGCCCCCCCCCTCGCCGGCCCGGGCATGGCGCGCGGCCGCTGCAGCCGCGCTTGAGCAGGGCCGCCGACGGGGCGGCCCTGGTGCAGACCTCTCATGGCGGGAGGGGCGCGGAGCTTGGCACCCCCTCGTCCCCCTCCTCCTCCTCCTCCTCCTCCTCCTCCTCCTCCTCCTCCTCCTCCTCGCTCCTCGCTTCACCTCCTCCTCCTCCTCCTCCTCCTCCTCCTCCTCCTCCTCCTCCTCCTCCTCGCTCCTCCTGGTCCTCCTCCTCCTCCTCCTCCTCCTCCTCCTCCTCACAAAAAAAATGGAGCACACTCATGGTCATGCCCCTCGTCGCACACACCTACTCCTCCTCGTCCTCCTGCTCATTTTCCTCCTCCTCCACCCCCTCCCTCCTCCACCTCCTGGCTGCGCATGGAGGGGGGGAGTGCTGACCTCCATGGCTGGCGGGGCGATGCTCGAGCTCGAGGGTCGCGGAGCCGGCGGGTCGCTCGCGCAGCGCGCCGCCCGCAGTGGTCTGCCAGGTCTCGGGGGCGGCCTCCGCGGCGAGGAGGGCAGTAAAAAGACTTGCCGAGGAACGCTGCCCCCGGACACATGTTCCAGAACGCGTCGAGGGCGTTCGCATGGGCCACCCCGGCTAAGATGGAACCCGCGTCCGCGAGCAAGCCCACGAAAGCCAAGCAGACGCCGATCGGGAGACGCCCGCGAATGACGCGGGTCAACAGCTCCCTCGTGAGGGAGGAAGTTTGGTTGGCGAAGCGAATCTCGACTCGGCCGCGGGGCGTCTCTGTCGCGCGGCTGGGGCTGCACTAGATGCGCCCGACGACCGCCGATGAACCCAAGCCGCCGCGCAGGGCGCGCATGACCTCGGGGCCGACGGCGGCAGGGACGAACTCGAGCGGCTGCGGGTCCTACCCGGCCACTTGTGGCCCAAGATCTCGTACAACCATAAGTCGCAGATGGACTCGACGCTGGTGCAGCCCGGGTGCATATCCATCGGGACGGGGATGCGGATGTAGTCGCAGGGGACCTCGTTGGCACCCCGGCGCAACAGGGAGGCCATCAATCGACCCAGCGCGGACGTAGAAGAGGGGGCCCATATAGAGACAGGCTTGTCCGTGGCCTCGACCGTGTCTCAAAAGGTGGGGCCCCCCTTCTCCGCGAGGTCGGTCAGCAGGCGGGCCACTCCTACCGTCGCCACTCGGGAGCTGGAAGGCGGGGTCGCCGACCCTCCCGTAGCGCCCAAGAGGTTCGACCACTCAGTGGCCACCACATCTGTCTCAAGTGGGGCGGTGTCGAACACGACTTCAGTGCGCGGCTGCCCATCTCCTTCCATAATGGGAGTTTGGACGGGAGCGTGCGTTTCCTTTCCCGGACCCGCGCGTCGAAAGAGTCGAAGCAGGCGTCGGCGGCGCGGGAAATCTTCTGCACAGACGATTCGGGCGTCGCATCTGTCCTGCTCTGGCCAGCACGCACCGTCGATAACGGAGGCGAGAAGCTTGGCAAAGCGGGGGCGTGTCTCGATGATGTTCAAGGGGATGTCAGTTCCTTCTGAAAGGTGCGAGTCCCAGGATGCTCCAGGGTTCGGCAGCGTCGGGGGTGTACGCGAGCGCCTTCAAGACCTGGTCGAACTCCGTCTTGGCACCCACGGAGCGTGAGACGATGGTGTGGCCGTCAAATGTATGCGCTGCCTGGCTGAGCTCGAAGTGCTCGAGCATCTCATGCTCGATCCGCGCCGCGAACGCGGAAGGGCAGCCCCGTGGCGAAAGGGGCGCAGGTGCGGCGGCATTCTTTGGCCGCCCGGCGCTACCTGCAGAGCCACCATTCCTTGCGTGGCGCCGGCATGCTCCTCCTCCTCCTCCTCCTCCTCCTCCTCCTCCTCCTCCTCCTCCTCCTCCTCCTCCTCCTCCTCCTCCTCCTCCTCCCCCTCGGCCTGCGATCAGCGTCCCTCTCCTCGTCCACCCCCTGCTCGAGCGGCCGCCCCGCCGCTCCGCCCTCGGGCCGCCCGCCGGCATACGCGCCAAGGGGCCACGGCTAACGGAGCCGGCAGCGCTCGGGAGCGCAGCCCAGGCGGGGCTCTCCGAGCCGTCCCTATATAGGGGGCAGCCTTGCGGGCGCCATGACGATGGACACTCCCACAGTCCCATCGCTGAATTACAGGATGTGCTTCCAAGCGTGCAAAAAAACATGCTCTGCGCAGGTCTCAAGCTGTTTGAGGCATGCTCAGACCAGGCTCGAGATCTCGAAGGGGAGGAAGTACGAGGTGATCCCCCCTCGTCAACCTGTTAGAGATGTGTGACACATGTCTTTCGACGCCTGGAAGCTATTGGGCAGCACGCCTCCGCTCCACCCATCGACTTCCCCAAGGGTGGCGGCGTCCGGACCCTCCCCGGGCCAGCCACCGAGTCTCCTTGACTACCTACCAAACCACACCAACCCAACCCGAAGACCCGAATTTGACCCGAACTTCGGGTTGGGGGGGGCTGCGGGTTCCACGTGTTTTTTCGATGTTCCCCAACCCCCCCCCCACTGGAAATGGAGCGCAAATCGTGGCCTTCGGGTTGGGTTGGGTTGGTTTGGTGGGTGGTGACTCCTGAATCGATGGGAGGCGGGGGGTGGGGTTCGGACTTCGCCACGTGCTCCACTGAGTGGGGCCCCAGGGCACACACACACATAGAGAGAGAGAGAGAGAGACCCAAATAACAGGATTCCCCCTATTTCCCCATAGTTTCATGGTTTTGTGTTCCCCCGCACTTCCAATCTATTCCAATAGTTTCCGGGTGATCAACGATTCATTGTGTCTGTGCGTGTGTTTTTACCTCCTGAGGATTCCGGACCCTACCCCCGTCGCCCATCGAGTTGCCGTGGTCGCTGCTCGGCGAGGGTAGGCTTCAGCGTTCGCCGACGATTTGCCGCACGTCCGTGCCACTCCGCCAACCCGCTCGCTCCTCTGATTTCGTCGACTGGCTGTTCTGCCTCGATTCCGGCCTCAAATGAGATGACCGCTGGGGGTGCCACGGAAAAAGGGGCTTGGAAGCGGATGCCAATGTGGGTCATGTCTGGCCCAACGTAGCTGACAGTTGGGTTACCCGTGCACTCAGTGGTGTAGGGGGGTGAACGATCCGTGCAAAGAGGGCTCCGCCCACGTAGCGGAGATGTCGAACCCCCTAAACCACTAAAGTAGGACACATGTCTAAGAAGCCAGGCTAGGCCAAATATAATACATGACCCACATTCGCATGCACTTCTAACCCTCCAATCCCCTCGGCGACCGCCGCGGTCATCTCTACAGAGGTCTGGACCCCTTCCCCTCGACTGGCTTTTCATCATGAGCCGTGTTTGACGGTCCCGGGGCCTGGTGAGGTCTCGGCCGAATGATCGCGTTCTTCTTATGAGAAGTAATATTCTGACGATTAGTTGCAGTATTATTCGTACTATTACGAGTGTCATCATTACTGAAGGCACCTTATGCGTGAGGCGCGCTCCTCCCCTGCTGCCGGAGCCCGCACGAGTTCGGGCTGCGCGCCCTGCCTGAGCCCTGTCCCGACCAGTTGTTACTACATGCGTCCACAATGCGTTAGCAGGCAATGGTGCTTTATGCTGCGATGTGTTGTTGTTTAGCTGCGCTGTGCTTCTCGACCCGAGTCCAGCCGCGGCGGCGAGAGGCGTCCGGGCAGCCAGAAGGCCTGCCTTCAGAAGCATCACCGAACGCATGGGCGTCAGCTTTGGGTGCCGCAGCTCGGGCCTCAAGCGGCCGCTCGGCGGCGTGGGCGCCCCAGGAAAGCCCTCGGCGAGGCGCAGCTGATGTACGAGATCGGCTCCTCCTGCACCCTACCATGCCTGGACTCCGTGCGTGCCCCGCTCCAGCGCGCGGGGCGGAGCACATCTTGGCTCGGCCCCGGGGGCCGAGAAGCTCTGAGCTGCACCGCTCCTGGGCCGAGCGCACGCCTCGAGAGACGCCAACCACGCGGCACGGCGCACGCGGGTCGTCCGCGGGTGGCGGGGGAAAGGGAGGAGGAGGAGGAGAAGCAGGAGGAGGAGGAGAAGGAGGGAGAGGAGGAGGAGGAGGAGGAGGAGGAGGAAGGAGGGAGGAGAGGAGGAGGAAGGAGGAGGAGGAGGAGGAGGAGGAGAGGAGGGGAGGAGGAGGACGAGAGGGGGGAGGAGGGGAGGGGAGGAGAGGAGGAGGAGAGGAGGAGAGGGAGGAGGAGGGAGGAGGGGGGAGAGGAGGAGGAGGAGGAGAGGAGGAGGAGGGGAGGGAGGAGGAGGAGGAGGAGGAGGAGAGGAGGAGGAGGAGAGGAGAAGGAGGAGGAGGAGGAAGAGGGCGGCGAGGGGGAGGAGGAGAGGAGGAGGAGAGGCGCGCGACGCTCCCTCCCGAAGCCGCGCGCGTGAGCCCTCGCGCGCGCGCGAGACAACCCGAGCAGCGGAGGCCAACCCGGCGGGCGGGCGGCGGGCGGACGGCGAGGGGGGGCCCGCTTGATGTCGCCGAACATCTCCGAGACGCTCTGCCGCGCCGAGGCGGGGAGGCCGTGAGGGGCGAGGCCGATTGACCTCATCCCCTCTTCCCCGTCCTCCTCCTCCTCCTCCCCTCCTCCTCCTTCTCCTCCTCCTCCTCCCCTCTCTCCTCCTCCCCTCCTTCCTCCCCCTCCTCCCTCCTCTCCTCTCCTCCTCCTCTCTCCTCCTACTCCTCCTCCTCCTCCCTCCTCCTCCGCCTCCTCCTCCCCCTCCTCCGCCTTCTCCTCCTCCTCCTCCTCCTCCTCCTCCTCCTCCTCCTGCCGAAGGAGAGGGAGCAACGGCACGAACAGGAACAGGCAGACTCCGGAGACCCTTTGAAGCCAAAACCGAGTTCATGTCCTGGGGGGGGGCCTCTTGCACTCCCGCCGCCTTCCGCCGGCCTTCCGCCGACCCTCCGCCGCCCTGCCGCCGCCTTCCGCCAGGGAAGAGACGGCGACTCCTTCGATCCCCGAAGGCAAGGCCGCTTCTGGAACGCCCCGATCGTCGGAGCTCCGCGCGGGTTTCTTGGATCTGCGCTGGGCACCCCTCCCTGGCGCGTGGAGCCCGTCAGTGGCCATGTGCAGATTCCAAACAAATCCGCGAGGAGCTCCGAAAGATTATGTTTCTACGTCGCTTCCCAGACATCCCCCGTCGTGTTTTTGTCACGACGTGGCTCCCTAGAGGTCTGGACCCATACCCTGGGACTGGCTTTACATCCTGAGTCGTTATTTGACAGTCCCGGGGCCCGGTGAGGGCCCCCACAGGCTGAAAGCTGGCAAAAATCCTTCCGTCGCGTTTTTTGTACAAAGAGTTCATGTTGACGCCGTTGGTCTTCTTCGATGTCGCTGGCAGCCTCGGGGGGCGGCTCGTGCTGCAGGCGGGCAGGCTGAAGCGCGGAGTGCGTCGCCATAGGCGGAGGGGGGGGACTCGGATTCGGACTTGGAACGACTGCGAAGCAAGAGATCCTCCTCCTCCTCCTCCTCCTCCTCCTCCTCCCCTCCTCCTCCTCCCTCCTCCTCCTCCTCCTCCTCCTCCTCCTCCTCCTCCTTCTCCACCTGCTCCTGCTCCTGCTCCTGCTCCTGCCCTCCTGCTCCTGCTCTGCTCCCTCCTCCCTCCTCCTCCTCCTCCTCCTCCTCCTCCTCCTCCTCCTCTTCCTCCTCCTCATCCTCCTCCTCTTCCTCCTTCTCCACCTGCTCCTGCTCCTGCTCCTGCTCCTGCTCCTGCTCCTGCTCCTGCTCCTGCTCCTGCTCCTGCTCCTGCTCCTGCTCCTGCTCCTGCTCCTGCTCCTCCTCCTCCTCCTCCTCCTCCTCCTCCTGCTTCGGGAAGAATCCCCGTAGCAACCACAAGCACGACACAGCCAGACCTGAAGGGCCTGGAGGTACGTCACGGCACGGGCTTCGTGCACCCACCCGTCTCCGAGGTGGACTGGCGCAGGGGGAAGAGAGGGAGAAGCGAGAGGGAGAGACTGAGCGCGGGAGATGGATGTCGCACTGGCCAAGCATTAGCGCCAGGCGCGGATAGCTCGACCGACGTTCGACTGCCCGTTCAGGGGCGAGTTAACGAATCAACTGCCGTTCGGGGACGGGGAGGGGGAGGCGAGAGGAGGGGCAGGGAGGAGGCGAAGGAGAACAAGATCTCTGTGTGAAATGGCATTGCGCGAACGGCATCGCCGTGTTTCCCCCCAATGGGCTGTCTTCGCATCAGCGCTGCAGGACGACGCTCAGCGCTCGGAGAAACAGCTGACGTTTCGTCGCCATCACCAGCGGCACATTCTCGTCGGGACGACGTCGCTCAAACCCCGAGCGACCGCGGCTTTCCGACTGCGCCAGGCCGTTGGCTGTCGGCCGACTCCAGGCCTCTGGTGTTATCAAACCTTGAGCATCCGCGCCGAGGGGGGTCGCCATCGCGTCAACGCAGCGCGAACCTACCGCAGCCGCTGACCAGACTCGCCACTGCCGTTGTCGTCGTCTGTCGTCAGTCGTCGGCGGCGGCAGCAGCAGCGCCAGGCTCAGAGGTTCGTTTCGGGGACCTTCCTGGGGCCCACCTTGCGGATCTGTTCGACTCTGGCTCGACCAAGCTCGACTCAAGTTCGCCGCAAATTGCCGGACGCTCGACGCAGCATCGACGCATGAGTGGAACGACTGGCGCAAAGAATAGAGGAACGAGCAGTTGCATAAACATGCGCTTTCGGAACTCCGCACGGCTTTCTGGGATCGGCGCTGGCACCCACTGGCGCGCAGAGCGCGCCAGTGGCGGCGCTGGAGGCGCCGCCAGGGGGTCACCAAGGCCGATGCAATAAATCCGCGCGTGCCGGACCTCCGAAAGTTTATGTCGTGCCGTGTTTGTCTTCTTCTCCTCCTTCTGATTCGCGCCCGCACGCGAGACGAGACGACACTGGCGCGCCGATGCCGAGGCTAGTCGCACGTCCAATCGAGCTGATCGCTCAAGTGAAGAAGCCGCACTCCAGGCCCCAGGGGGGCATGCCTGCACTTCAATCGGGCGCGTCCCCCTACGGGGGCACCTTCGACCGAAAACAAGAACTACCCCAGGAATGCTCCAAAATGATGGTCAAAAAAATATTCATAAAATAGTCCCCAGACTATTTTTTTGACTTTTTGGGGGCATGTTCCCCCTGTGGAGGGACAGGCCCGACTTCCGCCTGCAGCTCGGCTCTGCTGAGGCACCGCACGCCTTCGGAGCTGGCACGCTGCGGGGCCATGGGGAGCGGTCTTCCGCGGGCGGCCTCCGCGCCGTGCTGCCTTCCCCGAGCGCGCGCCCCGCCCCACCCGGCCCTGCGGCGGGGGCTCCCGCGCCAGCGTGCGAGGGCGCGCCCGCCCCCCCCCCCGGCTGGCCTTCATCTGCTCCTTGCTCCCAAAGGAGGCCTCCCGCCGGGCGGGCACCGCCCGCTATAGAGGCGAGGTTGGCAGAAGACCACGGCCGCCCCAGACCTCCCCTCATCGTGGATCCTCAGGACGTGTGCTAGCGCTCGCGTGTGCTTGTCCACCGAGACCGTTCCATACGACGCGGGTGCTGTGTAATGATCTACGGGTGGCGCTGAACGGTGTGAACACACACACACACACTGGTTTAGCACGGGTTCTGAGGAGCATCGGCCTGAGACCATGGCGCCGCAGCTCTCCTCGCAGAGGGCGACCTCGCCCTGCTTTTCGGACCCCCGCTCTCACGGATCGCTCCAGCTCGACGACGTGCCAGAGATCTTTACCAGCCTGGAACATATCCCTGACCCTATGCTGGGCAACTCCTCATCACGATGCCAATCTTAGGGATTCCCTTATTTTTTGAGGGCGCATACCTAAGATTGTCATCGCCTTTTGGCGTGTCAATCTTAGGGATAGGGATACGTTCGAGGCTGGTAAGATCTGGGCGTCGCCTCGTCTTCACAGCGGGCGAGGTTGCCGTGCTCCGGGCCCCCCGGGGGCCCTCGCGGATCGACCCGTCTGGAAGACTGCCGCGGGAAGAGGGGGTCCAGGGCGCAGGGTCGGAGTTTCCAGACTGTTTTTTTGCTGCGACGTCGGGTTTCAATGATGGAGGAGGAGGAGGAGGAGGAGGAGGAGAGGAGGAGGAGGAGGAGGAGGAGGAGGAGAGGAGGAGGAGGAGGAGGAGGAGGAGGAGAGGAGGAGGAGGGAGGAGGAGGAGGAGGAGGAGGAGGAGGGAGGATGAGGAGGAGGAGGAGGAGAGGGAGGTCGAGGTTGTCTACAAACGACGTTGCAATGTTTTCCGCGACATATATGGAAATTGGCATGCCGAGGCCCTGGATAAAGCGCACGACACAACTGGGAAACCGGGCAAAGGCTGCTATTTCCGTGCTGCTAAAATCGACCTCCGGGAAGTTGTCTTCGTCCTTCCGGGAAGAAGCCCGTTGACTGTTTCGCGTGCCGCGCCTCATTCTGGGCAGTTGTTTTTTCCTTCCAGGAGGACCGTTTTAGCAGCCACGGTTTTAGCAGCCCTCGCCCAGCTTTCGAACAAGGGTGGCCGAAGGGCGGCCATCGCTCCTGCAGTGAAGCATTGGCCGGCGTCGCACCCGGCCCCACGAGCCGGCTGCCCCCAAAAACATGACAGCTCGATGTCGCATCGAATTCCCACTCGTGCGTTCCACCTCGCGCCTGGGCAGCCTGCGGTGGTGCGCCGCCACTCTCTCTCTTCTCCCAAGACTCGTCGGTCGGAAGAAGTAGGTAGAAACATGAAGTAGGAAGGCGGACATAGTAGATTGGGCCCAGGTCCTCCCAGAGAATAACAAAACACAGCAGAAGCATGCCGATTCTTGAAGTAGGAAGGCGCTTGAAGTAGATTGGGATCTGGGAATCCAAAAATACCTACTTTCAACGACCGGCGTGTACTCGTCGTACTGCGCCTCCCTGGACGGAGCTCTCGCCAGTCCGCGTCCCAGACACCCCACTGGTCGAAAGCCTCCGACTACTCCTGCTGCTGCACATTGATCAGCAGGCGCTTTTCCCCATGCCGCTTGATCTCGTGCTCCTCGTTGTCCAAGTGTCCAAGAAGAGCTACTGCCGGATGGCATGCTTGAAGTGGCAGTCCTGGTTGACCATCCATCACTGCAGGCCTGGGAACTGCTGCAGCAGTGTGGTACCATCTGCGTCCCGCAGTCGACGGGAGAGCCTTCTCTCTTTTTTATTCGTCGCGGGGACGTATCGATACCCAATGTCCCCCGCTGTCGGCACCTCTGGCCCCTGAGGGCCACCAATCATCATGTTCGCTCGATGCCGCTGCGACCGCAGCCCCTCTGCTCACCTCCGCCTCGTGGCATGGCCATGGCTCCCGCGCGCCCCTGCGCGCCCTCCTCTTCGCCTGCTCTTCGGCCGCCTCCGTGCCCCACGCGCCTCCCGCCACGCCGCCGCCAGCTCCCACCGGCACCGGCTCCCGCCGGCGGCTGCCGCAGTGCCGCGGGGCCCCCGCCTCCTCCCTCGCCGGCGCTGCAGCGCAGCTGCCCCGGGGCCGGCCCCTCGGCGGCCGAGTGCACGAGGCAGCCTGCGGCCGCCGAAGGCCGCCGCCTGGACAGTGCGCCGCGGCGCTTTCGCTGGGACCGCAGCGCGGACAGCAGCGCCGAGCGGCGCCGCCGGATCCACGGCCGCCGTGGCTCCTCTGCGAATCGAGGTGCCACATCTGGAAGCCCAGCAATCTGAAGGGGCCCCAGGCCACACAAATAAATTACACACACAAACAACAGGATTCCCCATGTTTTCAAATATTTTCTTGGGTTTTGCCTTCCCCCCACTCCCCATCTTTTCGCATATTTTCCTGGGAATCGACGATTCATTGTGTCTGTGTGTTTTTCCAGTCCCGACAGTCGCTGGAGCCAGGCTTCCATGTTTTTCACGGCCTGGGAGCTCTAGGCGGGCGCCCCGAGAGTCGTGGCCGGGGCCTCGCTCCCGGGCCCTCGGGTCGGGCCGGGGGCCGGGCAGGAGAGCGGCCCGCGATGAGAACGAGCCCGGAGGACGGAGTCGAGAGTTCCAGGGGCCAGTACTCCAGATTTCGTAATAAAGGGAGGCGGGTCTCATTTCGGGGGGGGTCTCTTCCAGGCTATCTTGGAGGGCCTGGGGGGGTCTGGGGACGATGTTTTGGAGGGTTCTCCCACGGGGGGGGGGTCTGAAATGGCTTGTCTTGGAGGGTCCAGACCCCCTCCCTTTTATTACCAAATCTGGAGTATCCTCGTAAACTAGAACAGCGCGAGCGCTTCGCGCGCTGAGCTGCCAGCAAGCACTCGCCCTCGACAGCGACACAAAACTCTACATGTGCACGAGCACACGCACGGATTGCCCACAGGTTGCGACGACGGACGCCCGCGGCAAACATGGGTTACCAGGGGGAGAAGGTTTCGAAAAAGGCCGCCCCCTGGGCCTTGGGGCCCTGTCGACTGGCATATGATACTAGAATCGTTCTAGCTAGGCTGGATGGTCGAACTCTTAGGGCTTCCTGTTGGGCTTCCAGGAGCCCAGGGCTGGAAATGTTCGTTCGGCCCCCGCCTGGACCGCTGGGCTCTTGGGGGCCTCTTTCTGGCCTCCTGGATGCTACTTGAGGCCGCTTGGGGGCCTCTTGGGGGCCTCTTGGGGTCTCTTGGGGGCCTCTTGGGGCCTCCTCGGAGCATCCTGGACTGCTTATTGAAGTCGTCATGGGACCTTCTTGGCATGTCTTCGGGGGCCTCTTAGAAAGAGTTTTGAAGCCTTTTGGGTCCCGTCTTGGGGCCTCTGGGCTTCTTGGGGGCATCTTGGGGCGGAGAGCTTGATTTTCAGTTCGCGTTCCCTCTCTTGGGCCCCTCTTAAGGCCTTCTTGGGACCCTCTTGCGCCGTCTTGGGCGGCTCTGGGGCCGTCTCGGGGCTCTCTTGGGCCGAATTGGGGCCCTCTCGGGGGCCTCTTGGGGCGGGCCTCTTGGGGCCTCTTGGGGCCCTCTTGGGGGCTTCCCGGGGGCCTCTTGGGGCCTCTTGGGGGCATTTTGGGGCGGAGAGCTTCATTTGTCAGTTCGCGTTCCCTCTCTTGGGCCCCTCTTAATGCCTTCTTGGGACCCTCTTGCGCCGTCTTGGGCGCCTCTGGGGCCGTCTCGGGGCTCTCTTGGGACGTCTTGGGGCCCTCTTGGGGGCCTCTGGGGGGCCTCTGGGGGGCCTCTTGGGGCCTCTGAGGGCTTCCCGGGGCCCTCTTGGGGCCTCTTGGAAGCATCTTGGGGCGGAGAGCTTGATTTGTCAGTTCGCGTTCCCTCTCTTGAGCCCCCTTGGGGCCTTCTTGGGACCCTCTTGCGCCGCCTTGGGCGCCCTTGGGGCCGTCTCGGGGCTCTCTTGGGCCGTCTTGGGGCCTCTTGGGCAGCGGTTTTGGGAGCCTCTTGGGGGGTGCTTTAGCGCCGGAAACACGAAACAGCGAGAATAAAAACATGAAAATCAACCATTTTGCCCTCTCGGAACGCCTCCTGGGCGGCATTATAAAAACGTCTTAGGGCATCTTGGGGGCCTCCGGGGCAGTTCAAAACGCATCGTGCGGCCTCTTGGGGGCCTCTTGGGGCCTCTTGGGGCTTCCTGGGGGCCTCTTGGGGCCTCTTGGGGCATCTTGGGGCGGAGAGCTTGATTTGTCAGTTCGCGTTCCCTCTCTTGGGCCCCTCTTGGGGCCTTCTTGGGACCCTCTTGCGCCGCCTTGGGCGCCTCTGGGACCGTCTCGGTGCTCTCTTGGGCCGTCTTTGGGCCCTCGCGGGGGCCACTTGGGCCGTCTTGGAGCGGTTTGGGGAGCCTCTTGGGCGGTGCTTTAGCGCCGGAAACACGAAACAGCGAGAATGGAAAACACATGTAACAAAAAACATGAAAATCTACCATTTTGCCCTCTCGGGGCGCTCTTGGGCAGCATCCTAAAGCCTCTTGGGGCATCTTGGGGGCCTCCGGGGCAGTTTGAAACGCATCATGCGGCTTCTTGGGGGGCTCGCGGGGCCTCTTGGGTGCTTCCTGGGGGCCTCTGAGGGCCTGGGCATCTTGGGGCGGAGAGCTTGATTTGTCAGTTCGCGTTCCCTCTCTTGGGCCCCTCTTGGGGCCTTCTTGGGACCCTCTTGCGCCGCCTTGGGCGCCTCTGGGACCGTCTCGGGGCTCTCTTCGGCCGTCTTGGGGCCCTCGCGGGGGCCACTTGGGCCGTCTTGGAGCGGTTTTGGGAGCCTCTTGGGCGGTGCTTTAGCGCCGGAAACACGAAACAGCGAGAATGGAAAAAACATGTAACAAAAAACATGAAAATCTACCATTTTGCCCTCTCGGGGCGCTCTTGGGCAGCATCCTAAAGCCTCTTGGGGCATCTTGGGGGCCTCCGGGGCAGTTTGAAACGCATCATGCGGCTTCTTGGGGGGCTCGCGGGGCCTCTTGGGTGCTTCCTGGGGGCCTCT